TGAAGGCCTTTTTAAAGTAGAAGATGGCTTTGATGCCGAAATCCCCAAGGGAAAATAATTTCCAGCCGGCACATTATTTTTATAAAATTGAGGACTCGAAGCTGAATTCCCACACTCCGTTCGAGCAAACAATCCTTCAGATGCATCAGGGGAATACCGGTGTCCAAATAAATTACCTATTTTAGAGTCAGACGGCATTGCCAACAATGCAGAATCCATCTCACCATCAAACATAGGACTTCTGGGAACAAAGGAATTAAATCCTCTACATTCCGAAAAGCCCCTCCTAAAATTTTCAAAATTCATTCGAATAGGCACATCCACAGACTGATCACGTAATTGAAAACCATTTTGGGATAATGAAATTTCCTCCTGCTCATGGCTAATATACATTTTACTAAAATTGCTCGACAAACTCCGTCCCTCAACTGTAATAGCTTCGTTTGCCTTGTTGAAATCTAACCAGGATCCATTGCCAGAAACCAGGTGGGCCTTCAGTTCTCCAAACTGGGGTGGAGTTGGCGATCCATTGTCAGAAAATGAACGCCCACCAGAGAACAAGCTTGAGGATGAGCCGTCAGATGGTAAAGAGAACCCACTGGCAGGGGAAGATGCACATGCATATGTATGCCTCAACAGTTCATCATCATACATACGATGAACATTCATTTTCTGTGTCATATGCGATGTATGATCAACAAGACTATGATGATGGACATTGCTATGTGTATGATGAAGATTCAATGATGATGTTGCATGAGGGATCTCGCCCAGTAACATCTCGAGTTCATCATCATTCATGTTTCCTACACTTCTCTTCTCGATCTTCACGCCCTCGTACAAAAATAAAAATAAAAATATATACAACACGAGATTTCACAACGAAACAATACAAGAATCAAAAGACCCACAACAGGAAATGATCAAGAGTAAAGAACCCAATAAAAATCAATGAGAGATTACCGCTTTTTAACATCTGGGTCTAAGAATCCCAAAGTGTAGTTGATAAAAATGGAAAGACGCAGTGGCGTTTTGACGGTGAAATTTCATTTTGTTTAAAAAGATTAGTTTTCCTTTTCTTTTAGTTCATTTGGGATTTCTACAGAATATAAGAGTTGGTGAAGCATGCCAAGATGAACGCATAGGATACATACATATATATATACTGTATATTACACACAAGCACACACTCTCTGGTCTGGTACGGTCTCACGCCATTAAAGGAGGAGGAAATGAACAGACTCTCTCTCTCTCACCCTTTTTCTCTCTCTATGCATACACGTATATATTAGAGTGAGAAAATAATGTAAAAAAATACTGAGCTGGAAATGGTGCTGTACGTAAATATTTGTGCGTTTAGTTAGGGAAGATTGCATCACTGGTCCCCAACTTATTATTTTAGTAGCAATTTAATTCTTAAGTAAATGCATTTTTAATAAGAAAGGTTGCACGACTGATCCCCCAACTTATTGCTCTAGTGGCAATTTATTGCTTCACTTTCAACAATAATAGAAAATTTCCATACACGTGTTAAATTGCCATATGCTCCTTGTTTATCTAATTTTATAAAATCAGAGTTTTCTTCACTACTTGAATTGGTGTTAGAAATTTCGAGCGAGACTCGAAATAATGCAGTAATTTATCGAACATTTCAACTTTCTATCATTAATGTTGATTGTGCAACTATAATCAAATGTTGAAGATTAAATTGTTCTTTTTCGAAGATTGGTGATCAAAATACTGTCAAGGCAATAGAACAAGGTTTAACATATCATGTTTTCATATTAATATCCATTAGTTTTAGTGATAAATTATAGCAATCTTGTCCCTGACCTTTGACCTCTTTTACAATCTTTTAATAAATTCATTCTTGTGTGTTAATCTTTAATTAATTAGCAAGTTTCTGTCCAAAGTCTATTATAATGTATAAAAAGACACTACAAATCCCATTTATGAGGGTCAATGCTTAGATCATCCATTTATACGAAGAGCGTGTTCTCTAACAACTTTAAATACACTTAACTTATTTTTGTCTTTATTGTTCACCACGTGTTTATAGGGTTTTGTATTTACTTTGGTTAGATTAGCCATGTCAAAGAGTCGAGTTGAGCCACGAGTCGAAACTTAAAGCTCGGACTTGACTCGAGCAAAACAGGTCCGAGCTTTTTTGAGCTTTCACTCGGCCAAAAAAATGAGGCCCGACCCAAGCTTTCGGCTCAAGCCTTAAAGGGCCTTCGGCCGATCAAAAAAAAATTTTTTTTGAATATTTGTCATAAATCTATAGCTTTTATAATGTATTTAAAATTTGGCGCAATTTATACGTATTATAAATAATAACTAAATATTAATATATAAAAAAAAATACATCTAAAAAAAAAAGCTCTGATCACGAGCCGATGATGAGTACAGGCTAGCTCGAGCTCAAGTTGACGCCCCCAAAATGGGGATCGGCCCGAGCTTAGGCTCAATGCCACTGAGCCATGAGCCAGCCCGGAAAAAGCGAGCTCGGGCCGTCGAGCTTTTTTGACATCGTTAGGTTACATTATAATGTTTTTTGGGAAGGAAATTGTCCACATTTTCTAGCACCGTTGTTCTGGTTATGATGTCCATAATCAGGAAAACCCTTTGCTCATTTTAAGTTTTTTTTTTAATTATTGTTAATTTAAAATAAAGGGTAATCTAATTTTTTATATCATTTTAATTGTATTTTTGGACGAATTTTTTTATGGAAACTAACCCGCTAATTAAATAAAGATTGATGTTGGGGACAAAATTATAAAAAGGGTCAAAGATTGGGGATGATGGCTGTAAATTCATCCTCTTTTCTAATTTTTCATGTCCCACTCAATCAATGTCGAAACATTTTGTGCATGTGGCGCGTGGAAAAAGTTATTTTGATATTATGCTAGAAATTAATTTGATCGTTTTATTTCAATTATAAAAAAAAATTAGTAGATAAATTAATTTATTTTTATAATTATATTTAATTACTGACCTTTTTCAAATCTGTCCACGTTTTAACGGTTGGCGATCATTTATGAATATGATTTTGACTCTTAAAAACCATTCTCACTTGGTACCTCATTATTATCATCACATAAATTTTAGCAAGAAATTAATGATAATGTTATTAAGATATAAATTTTTATGTTTGCTTGTTCCCTTGTAAAAAAATAGGTACAGAGCTGAATAAATTACTCGAAAGTGCTCTCTATATTCCATGCAAAAAGAGGTGTCAATCCCTCTTTCGAGTCGATAATCGATCTTTTTTTTTTACTGAAGTCTCAAAATTTAGATCCTTAACATTCCATCTAAACATCGCAATTTTCACCTTTTCTGTTTGTAGCAACATGGTTCTTAGTCGTGCAGACCCTTTTTAACGGCACTACTTTACTCCGTATCTCTTAAAAGATAAGGTTAATAATCTTTTAATAGGTGATGATCTTTGCGATATTTCCATTTATAAGGTAAGTTATGGACTTCACGGACCAAATTATCGTCACATAATCTCTTGAGATACGATCACTATCTCATAAATAGTTAAAATTAATAATTCTAAGTTAATTTTCATATTTCACATCTTGAGAATGAGTGTAAATACGAATTTATCATTTAAAGAGTCGAGTCGAGTCAAGCGAGCATTAATTCTCCACTTGTCTTCTAAAATACTCACATTATGAACAAAATTTACATGCTGTCTGTCCGTGTATAAAACTAACTGAGGAAAAATTGTGGGTCGTTGATTTGATCCATTCACGCAAAAAGAAATAGGATACAATAGGAATTGAATATTTTGTTAGGGGTAACCATGTATGACAGTGCAATTCCTTAACTATAAAGGAATTGCCTTTTTTTGTTACTTCGCATACGCGCAATCAGTTAGCAGTCTTTGTCTTCAGTCTGTCATCCAATAGGATATAGACACGTGGAATTTAACTAATCTGGAAAATTTTCCATTTTAATTGGTAATATTTATTTATGATATAGCAGCTAATTTTGGTAACTGATAACGCATAGGTGGGTGGATACCTGTTCGATGACCCTTGATCTTTAAAGTATTGGTCCACACACAAGTTCAGAGTGCTTTTTCTTAATTTATTCGACTTAAATATTTTATGAATTGCAGTTTTATTTGGTGGGTTTGTGATTGAATACTTGGAAATTCTTCCAATCTTCAATCTCCTTTCGATATTTTCACACTGAAACAGAATTATGTGCATTTTTGTCCCATCATTGTAGAAGAAATGGAGTAAAGAATAGTATATTTTAGAGAATGTGTGGTTGAAATTTAAAGTAACTTTATTGATTTGTGTGTAGAGTATTTTATTAGATGAATGTGTGGTGGAGAATCTTACTATAGCAAACAATGTTTTGGAATAATGGGAGACAAATGAGGCCTAACGTAGTAGGCCTCAGAGTATTAATAGTCGATGGCAATCCCTTATGCTCGAATTTAGATTTCATCATTCCATACATCCCCGTTTTATCATTCTTGAATCCGTGAGACCCTACAAGATCACTAAATAACATATACCAGAAAAACAAGCTAAAATTTTGTTCGCATCCCTGTGTATAACATTAGTAAGGGTGAAAGAAACATACCTGCGAGCACAAATTGTTGCCCAATTACCAAGGCATGAGGAAATGAAGATGTCACTAAAACACAACATATTATATGAATTGTTATCTTGCACACAAATGGCCGCATGCAAAAAATCAAATGTTTCAGATCTTACAGCAGGAAAGACAACACAGGTAGAAAACTTGTATAAAATTGACTCGTGTTTAGGGATGAATTTCCTCGAAATTGCATGGAGTAATATTAATAGATAAGCCTGCCTTTCCCAGATCCAGCAGCAGCAGCAGCTAAAGAGAAGTATCATTTGATGGAAAAACTATTTTATTAGTCACACGAAACTATTTGAACAAGTACAAAAATAATATACTGTTATAACATTACCCTGAAGAAGAATAGTCATTGCTACAAGATTGTGCTATATTCAAATTTTCCCTTCAAGAGCTCCCTGATCTGCCAATCATCCATGACAATATGCATAAGTTACGCAAAGACCAAATGTGATTTAGTGTTGTTTAGTTTCTTGTCCAACTCGAAAACGGTAAAGGACAAGCTCATTGAGATAATAATATATGAAGCGGCATTTTCCCTTTTTCTCTTCCTTTAGCAAAAAAACCAGGATATAAGAGGCTAATATCACTCTTTTTCTATTTCAGGACATTAAAAGGATTGTACGTGTTAAAAAATAAAACGTAGGACAACTATTAATTTTACAATTCAACCCACAAATGGATATTTGAAATTGCCGACATATGAATAATCTCAATTCTGATTCTCAAATATATGGACAAAATTTCAGTAATTATTTTCCTGCATTTCTTGATTTCAAGTTCTTTCCAGAATTTATATCAGTGTACATTTCCTTTACTTTTTTTTTTTTTTTCTCTTTTTCGCTTCTCGTGTTTGTTCTATTTAAGCTTTCCTGACCTAGAATGACATGATTTACCTACAACTTGATAGTTAAAGTGTGACCAGATGCTGGGTAATAGGTAACATTACTTGAACAAAGAAACTTTGTCTAATATATTGATACAGACAAGTTATAGAGGTGATGACTCAGAAGTGGACATTATGATTGAGAAGTGGGAGTTAGAGGAAGGGGAATAAAGAGTCACAATAAATCGATAGTAAATTTTGATGCAGAACAGCTCAGAAAGTATACTCTAGTCAGGGGCAGTGCCAGAAATGTAATTCAGTTGGGGGCACGAGTTACGTGACTTAACTAAGAATGAAAATTTTGAAACACGATATTAGTACAAAATCATTAGAAAATGTTACATTTCATTGTCCAAATCATTTCAATTTATAGAGCAACTTTATCTTTGCTTAGAAGTTAGAAGCATAATGACTACAAAAACAATGCAATGATAATGATGGCCCTTGCTAATTAGTCGTATACATGATCCGATCTATTCACTGGTCATATGAAAAATTCACTTGTTCATGCTATTTTAGTCTCTTAATAAAGTGGGTTACTGTAAATCATGTATTCCACAAATCTTAAACATTGTTGCTATGTTGTACACAATTTAATCAAATTAGAAGTGTAATCGAATCCCAGAGAGGACAACTTTCCCCAGTGGACCCATCCTGGCTCCACGAGTGATGCTGGTTGGATGTCTGAACTTCTTCAATATCTCAAGCTAGGGGTAAAAGGTGAGTTCTAGGACCTTAATTATTAGGGAAATTTGGGTACAAGCTTGAGGACAAAATGTAGAAACAATTTAGCCCCTGTTAATGTTTTGAATAGTTAAGTTTTTGGAGAATGTGTGATTAAAAAGTAAGGAAAAGTTTTGGGTTTGCGTGCAAAATATTTTATTGTGTAAATGTGTGGTTGAAAATTAGTATGCACAATAAAAAGTTTTGAAATAAATGATGTTAAAAAGGGGCTTAGATTCATAGGCTGAAGTCCACTTTGATGACATTGAATGGATACTCTTGAGGACTCTTCGTCGGTTGACAGGGAAATACAACTTCATGAAAGAAAGATCGTACAAGGATAAATATTATTCAATTCTAAATAAAACAAAAGATTTTGCTGATGCCAGCTCGATTAGAACAGAACTTCCATATAATAAAATAGTAACCAGAAATTCACGATTAATACAAATCCCCAATCAAAAGGGACAACCTAAAACCATAATTAGACTCGACTAGGACATGCTAACCTGTTATGACTTCCTGCCAGAATATTCTCAAATTTCCAAAATACCCCCCACAGTAGAAATTAAGGCTCTGTTTGAGCCCCATTTTTGGAAGAACCAGATTTTGTATTAATGAATTGTTTGGAAAACGTGTGATTAAAAAGTAGGAAAAAGTTTTGAATTTATACACAAAAATAATTTACGGATTAATCTACTCATACACATTCTCTACACTTTGGGTTACACTCTCTTATGTGTCAAAAATCTGACCATACATTGAAAAATGTCTTGTTAAAATTAATTCATCAAAATCTGCCAACTCACCAAGATGTAAATCAATGTGTCAACTTTTATGTACATATAACATGATCATTATTTTACTAGGAGAATATGTGGTTAAAATTGAGTTTGGAGAAAAATGAGTAGGTAAGAGTGAGACTCAAAAGGGGGCTAAATAAGAGAACATGACTTCATCAAATGAACAATAAAATAATGACAAAACTAAGATTATTATGAGCTATAATCCTTAAGAAAGTGTCCAAGGTAGGCTCGTAATTCTCTGAATAATCCCAAATTAGTACATGAGCTTCATGAAATCTTTCCTATGCATATTGTATACTTTTATATGTTGCCATCATTTATTTCCATCAATTTTGGAATCTAGCACATAAAACATAAATCTTTGAAGTGTTGAGTTATTCTAGTAAAATCACAACTGATTATTGACCTCTATCAACTTAGAGCAGCAAACGTTCTTAATGAATATCATCGGTTTTCATTAATATATTATATTTGAAACTCTTCATAACCAGACATGTTCCCAGTAGACAAATCTTTTAATGTAGATAATATGTGCAGAGGCCTGTTGAATTTTATATAAAGAAAAGCTTCCAATGGGTCTGATACTAGTGAACCTAATTTATCCAGAATCTGTAACCCCTCTTACTAAAATGATATCAATGAGGTCAGGAGACAATGGTACCCAAGGATTCTTGGAATTCAACCATTGACTTTCTGGTCAATTCCTAATTTCACAAGGAATCCATGAACACTCATGTTTGTCAGAGTACAGGAGGAAACAACATCTTGCATTATAGTGCATTACAATCATCTTATTCCAACATCAAGGACTGTTTCAGGACTTCCTGTATATCTGAATAATGACAGTTGGACAACGGACTGCTTTTCAAGCTAGTTCCTGTTTCCAATTTCTCATACGGTTGGTCCAGTAGCATTTGAAAAACGGACTGGTACACGTTCTCTTAAAGAATCACACATTCACAAGAGGCACAAAGAATTGCAGAACAAATGAAACCTTCAAAATTATAAACAGAAAATTACTGACCTTGAAGATCAGATTTGAACCCACAACTTGTCAAATGCTTTGCAAGAGCCTCTCCTAAATCCTTTCGCCAGTTGACTGCAGCCATGGCCTCGGATACAGGCCAGATAATTGCAGACTCAGTTGTGAGATCCACATTAGCTGAAGAAACCTGTGGCTGTTCACAAATTTAACAGAATAATCATTACTTAAACTATTATGGCTACAAGGCTTCTAGTACAAAATCTCCAAGACCTAAAACAACAATCGTGGCAAACATGCCCATATTGTAAGACATTGTGCATGAGACGCATAAACAATCATCTAAAAAATTATAATATCTGGTAGCTTTCTTTCTCCAAGATAGTCAACTAAATCCATGGTGCAAAGGTAAGAATTTATTCTCAACATCTTCTTTTGAATAATGTTACTATGCTTTTTGCTAAGTAAAGTTAATCACAAAATATTAGATGCACTTTCATTAGTATCCTAATTATCAGCAGCAGTAGGTTATGCGTTATAATAAGTTGAGATTGGTAGCGCGATACTTGTATTAAACTGTTTTTCCCTGCTCTACACCTTTATTCTGCATGAGAGTGATTTTTCTTTTCACTTTGCAGAGGAATGATTTTATGCACTTACTTGACTTTCTAAAATTTTTTTTACACTTGCTGAGCATCCCCCGCATGTCATTCCCTGCAATTTTATAGAAATTTAATTAAAAGATATCATATAGAACAAAAGAATAAAAAAATCATTCAAACAGACAATCAAAGGGCAAATTACCCATTGTTGCTGAACGTATAATTCATGATACTCAAGAAATTATCCTTTTTGTGTTAAAGCTAGGAAGAGAAGTTACTATTTTTTATTTTTTTTAATCAAAATTCAAAAATTTAAAACCCTTGCAAATTTAATTTAAAAGCACATCAACTCCAGAATCAGAATAGCTCGTCCAAAAAGCTAGTGAGTAATTCTCAATTTGAAGAATTATATTTATGGCTAACCAAATATTTGATTTAAAAACCGAAGACGGCGTAGCTCATTTTTTTGTACCATTACATTTAGGGAGATAAATTTTGAGGAGAAATAAAAAGAGCTTACTCCAACATGAAGAACAATAACATCAGGATTGGCAGCAGAAGCATTATCATCTCCGGCGGCCACCTCCGTCGACTTCACCTCACCACCCTCCTGCGCACCATCACTGTCACCGCCGCCGACATTCCCAACAATTCCATCAGACCCTCCGCCATCGGAAGCAAACGAGGAAGCAGAGCTAGCCGCGCACTGCAATTGGGTCCAGCGCGGGTCCACAGTGCCTATACGTCGTACCACAGGACCCGAACGAATCCGGTTGAACTCGCTGCACCTGAACTGGAGGTGAGCAATCGCACTCGAACGGTTCGTGGAAAAGCGCCGGTGGGCGAGAGGGTTAGAATGGGAAATGAAGCACTTGGAGAGGTACAAAGTACTCGAAGAGAGTAATGTTGACGCCATTTTTTGTGTCTTCTTTATTCTCAGCTGCGTGCCTTTGGATTAAAGATTTTGGGTGAGGCCTGAGGGGGAAGTTGGAGGGAAATTTTCATACGCAGTCACTGAGCTTTCAGAGAAATTTCAATTGAGTCGCTAAACTTTGATTTATTTCTATTTAATCATTAAACTTCAATTTAATTTCGAATTTCACCATCATGTTACATTTCTCACTTATTGTCCCCTATAATGTTGTAAATTTCTTAGCCGAGACAATCATACCATAACTAATTTTTCACATAATCATTATTAAACCACTATAAATGGACAATGGTAAATGAGGATTGTAGCAACGCCTCCAGATTAAAAAAGATTTTTATGATGTGGCATTATAGGTAGTTGGTATGTCACGTGGAAAATCTATTGAAGTATTACCGTTGGTAAAGGAATTTTTATGAATTTGAGAGACAACACGTGACAAAATGGTGGAGTTGAATATTTCGAAGAATATGGGAGACAACATACGACAATTTTTATCATGAGTTTTAGGAATAATGTCCCATCGAGGGACCGAAATTTGTGAAATTGAATTACATCGAACCTCGTCTCATAAATATCATTAGAATCGTGTTGTTTCTGTGATCTTAATTAACGTGAAAGCGAAACCTCAAATTCATCCATTATGCTTTCAGACGCTTAGTTATTTATACGTTGAAAATCTTTTATCGGAGTTTGAACTCTTTCCTTCTATATGAATACGCCTCTACATTGCTTGAAAATTGTAAATCAATGATAGCAAACCTTCTTTTTAGTTTTAGCACAAACAAGTAACTTTTATTTTACAATGTCTTCATCTATGTAGTGGAAAATAAAAACTTAATACAATTAGTCCATTGACTCCAGTCAGGGCGGAGAAGACTTGTCAACTTTTAATTCTTCCTCAAGCTTTACTTGTGGAGAATACGAGTTGCAATCATAACTCAATCTTTAGAGATCAATGGATCGGTTAACAGGCGGAAAAGAATTATCGTCATCATCGAAAGCGGTTGCATCAATTCATGGTAAGGAAAAAGGTTTACTTCGCTGCGGAGGCGTTAATTCAGGGGAGCGGATCCCTCATGACGTAGTAACCGAAGTGCTTTTGCGTCTTCCTGTTAAGACACTGATGCGATTCAAATGCGTGTCCAAGCTCTGGTACTCTACTATTTCCGATTCCGATTTCGTTGTGGCCCACCACTCGAATTCCAGCGCCCTCCTCATCACTTTTACAGACAAAGATGCTACATCGCAAACCGGTCAACCGGTTCAGCGGGTTCTTCACATGTCCCCTGATAAAACCTTACATCACCAGGCAAGCGTTTTACTCGCAGAGTTCAACATAACACAGACAATTAATGGCCTTTTTTGTTTGTATGTTAATTCGGATGATCTCATCTTCTTGTGCAATATATCCACTCATGAAATTATGAAGCTTCCATCCCCGGATTATACTACTCGTCGCGCTAAATATTATTTTGGGTATGATCCAATTAAGGATTTGTACAAATTACTGAAAATACGTTCAGAAAAAATCGATGATGAATATCCTTGTGAGATTCTTACTTTGGGGATTGACTCCTCATGGAGGATTACCCCACCTGCAATTCTTGATTTAAAGACACAAAGCATTTGCATTGATGGAGTTCTGTATTGGGGTCGGGATCTGCACCCTAATTACACAGTGGTTGCTTTTGATCTAATGAAGGAGGAGTTTCGGGTTAATCCTATACCGACAGAGACCAACAAATGTATCCGGCTTAATATTATGGAACTTGGAGGAAGGCTTACCTTGGCACAGTTCGAAGAATGTTCATTTAATGATGGGAAACTGATCTTATGGGAATTAGATGATGATCAAGTAGGGGAGTTGGAATTCTGGACCAAAAGCATTGTTAAGTTGCCAACAGAATTGTGCGAAGAGGACTGTCGTTTTCCTGTTGGAAGCCTCCCTACTGGAGAATTGTTACTTGCTGATTACAGACTCAAGTCTCCAATGACTGTTTATTCTTATGATCGTGCAAAAGGGAAGTTTGAAAAGTTTTTGAAGGCCGAGTTCCCTTCATCTCTGGCTTTAGTATGCAGGGAACCACCCCGGCTTCAAATAAATTATCATAAGGAAAACTTAGCCCTGTTAGAACATATAATCAAAGGCTGCACTTCACTTTCTTCTTATGTACCATTGTCTGATAGAGAAAGAGTTGCAGGTGTGTAGATAAGACATTTCATTTAGTGAATTCTTGTCAATGAAAACGAGAATGAAAGCGGGAAAAGGTCTGTCACGTGACACCAACGGTAGATCTTTTTATGTTACATGTTATTGTTAGCTTGTTCCTGCATGTATTATTAACAAAAATATTTCCTGAAGTTGACAAGAATATCTCTTGATGGCAATGATATGGGAAGTATATTTAGTGTAATATGATCACGAGTTTTTCATGTTTTACATAGGAAATTGAATGTACACATTGTCAAATTGGTCTACTGTATTGATTGTATTTTAGTTGCTAGATCTTCTTGATGCATATCATGAAATTCCCAGATCAAGACTTGTTGAATCTTGGACTTAACCCTTGAAATTCACTCCTTCAGCTTCTCTAAATAAGCTACATAATTTGGAGACAGTATGTAATGATAAATTCAGTGTCTTGAGCTGAGAAATTTGACAGTAATTAATGAATGATGTCATATTTTCAACTTGGCAGCTCCTAGCTTCCACTAGTTCAGTGCATATAGTCATCAAACTTGAGGCCACATTATGTGTGAAATTGCAGTAGATGGTCATAGAGATTTAGCATTGAGGTTTAGACTAGCAGCTAGCTCCGTGGGAAAGAAAATGCTGATTCTGAGTGCAATGATGCTTCTGAGTTATCAGTTCTTTCTACAATGTCCAAGACTCTTGATTGAGTAGCACGACTTAGACATTGTCTCAAATTAAGCATTCCTCCATCCATCCATGCCTCGAAAGTAGCCCAAAGAAAGAACAATTTAGTCTATGTTAATAGCCAAATAATTCAGTGGGACAATGTTATCCTTGTATAGTTTAACTTTTGTCCAGTGGAGTTCAAAATACGTACAGACCAGGCTCAGGCTTATGATACTCGGTCGAGAGTCTTTAGCATTGTATAGACATTCTTCTGTTACCGAGTAAAGACTTTAGAGCAGTGTACAAAGACTTGTTGGCAAGGGTAAATCAAATGAGCATATTTTTGGAATAGAGAAAATCTGGATTGATTTCTTCTTTCTTCATATATAAATAAAATGATCGTTTACAATATAATTGTCTTCAATAACATCTAAAAGGGCGCGTTAACAGAAATGTTATAAACAAAATAAAAAAGTATAAAAAAAAAAAAGGAAAAAAAAAAAAAAGAGGAGAAAAAAAAAAAAAAAAAAAAAAAAAAAAAAAAAGAAAAAAAAAAAAAAAAAACACCAGGCTTAGCAGAGCCGACCCATATAGCCAATAAGCTCGGCTTAAGCGGTTCTTTTATTCAATGTATAGATATAGATGTAGGATAGGGAAAAAAAAACACGGCTTAGTCGAGCCCAGCCATATAGCCATTCGGCTTGGCTACTTAGCTATGGATATAGATACTGGATAGAGCATAGGATTTGAAAAAAAAAAAAAACCCCACTGCTTAGCTGATCCATATAGCCATTCAGCTTGGCTACTTAGCTATAGATATAGATATAGGATAGGGCATAGGATTTGGAAAAAAAAAAAACCCCCAAGGCTTAGCCGAGCCATATAGCAATTCTGCTCGGCGTTCTAGCTATAGATATAGGATAGGGTATAGGATATTGGGAAAAAAAAAAGCACCTTGCTTAGCCGAGCCGAGCCGAGCCGAGCCAACCGAGCCGTATGGCCATTCGGCTCAGCGGCGGCTTACCTACAATACCCCAAAACTGCCTCTTTTAATATAGGTAGATATTATCCTACATGCCCTTAAAAGAGAGGATGGAATTGCACTGTTCATTTTTTCACCAGTATTTGTTTATAACTGTTTCAATACTGTTTACTCCAAAAAGGCTTCTCATTTTTCTTCTTGTCGTTCGACGGTTTCTAATACTGTTCCCTAAATATCGTCACTACAAAATGTCTTTTGCTCTCTCTCTCTCTCTCTCTCTCTCTCTCTTCGTGCTATGCTTTTCTTTTTCTTTGCTTTTGGATCTCGATTCCATTGGACTTCAACTTATACTTTAGGGACGAGGACATAGATGAAGAAGATAAAAATGACGAAGAAAAAGGATCTATTGCGACGACCTTTATGGAAAGTCTAAGCATCATGGCACAGAACTAAGATGTGTGTCATTATGCAGCGTTCTATAAACTGCCATGGATCAGAATTTACAAGTTTATTTGTAGTTCAGTTGAATTATCCCACATTTTTTATTGAGCTTGGAAGGGCTGATTGTGAGCATTCCACGACAGTGACAAACGTTGGTGATGCACAATCAACTTATAATCTTGTGTTGGGAAGTGTTCATGGTGTTGACATAGTGCAGAGCGAAGCGGCTAACTCACGCACATAACCCCGGGCCTCCTCCTTTCTCGACGGCATCAACTCAATTATGACTTCAAGCTGGCATATCCACATTTCGACTAGTTAACGATCATGTGATAAGATTTTGGAGCTATGCACAACATAGATCGCAAATGTATTCACTCACTTGAGGGTCGTCGATGAGAGCTGATAATTGTTTGCTAGTTGGACATCGCTCTGCTCGGAAGGCTCGCTAATGATGGATCCGAGGGCAGTATGTCTCCCCTCGCCTAGCAAACCGGGCACCTAGGAGGGGGACAGTCTCATACGCCGAGATCTGCAACACAATTATTATATTCATGTTTATTATAAACAATATTTTTTAACGTTGATTATATCAAACATTTACGTGCACTACCAGGGGCAATTCATATGTATCGTACTTACGCACAGTCCCCTTTGGCCTCGAGCGTGATATGGTGAAAACGTGCACCGTATCCTCGAAAAATATCCGGCACAGGGATATGTGTTGAAGACATGAAGATCGTCGATGATCTGCATATGGAAGAGGTCGATCGCAGTCTTCCTATGGTGACATCTCAACATGCTTTCAAGGATGTAGACCAGGCCTAGCTTCAGTTTGTCTAACATATGGTCACACCCCATGATTGCGTCCATCAGCTGTGGCAAAAGCACCGTCCCATGTCCCTCGAAGTAAACATCGTAAAGCCTGCTGCCTCTCGAGTACTAGAACGAACTGCATCATGGCCCGTAATCTCCAGTCCAGTGATCAGGGTAAACTTGAACATAGAGAAACTGACGACTTTGCCCTCGAGGTCGAAGTGGAGAGCATCGTCATCGACTGGACTCAGCAACCGACACAGTAGGGCATCGATGATCTGCCTCGAGAACTGCACGGCTCTCAACTCGTACAAAAGCCAAAGAAAGGACTTGCGTAGCATATATGAATGCTGCTCATGCAGCAGCTCCAATACGGCGGTGTAACTACCAAGGCTACAGGTAGCCTTACCGGCATCTGTCTTAAAGTCGAGTTCAAGTGATACACCATGCTGCAAAAATTTAAATATTAGCAAATCGAACATATGATAATGAAATACAATATAATATTAGAAAATTAAGTGAACCAAATTGAGGCGCCATAAATCTGAGGAAGAAATAGATTTTTTGCTCGTTGCAGCATGACATTTTTGACCCATTCTTTCACGAGTGGGACCCACTGACCATTCCCAATGCAAAATATTTTGGATTTTAATTTGAAAAGAAGGTGCACCAGACAGGTGCTAAATAATTAAAAAACTTAATTAAAAAAAAACAAAAAAAGAAAAAGAAAAATGTATCTTCTTCTCCCTCACTCCAACCACCAACAGTAGTTCAACTTAGTACAACAGGAATCGTTGATTTGCACAATTGGTTATTGGCCTTAGTTGAAAAGCCAATGACGTGAAGTTACCGTGCGCTGGATTATGACTGAATACCTTTAAGTCCAAATTCGTGATAAAAGCGGTGCACGCACCCGTCATTCGCTTATTAACCTGCAGTAGGGGCCTTACGGCTCCCAGGGCATATGTCGTTGGCCAAGCCTCACAGTGGTGTGTTACATTGGTTGCCTTGAAGTACAATTTTCATCGAGTTGCAACTAGAATCCTTTGCAGATGATTGAAACAATTTTTCAAGCCTTTGTGTTGAAATTACTTAGTAAACTTATAAAATTTGTGCTGGCGAAACTGGAAAGGATTCATTTTATTAATTCTAAAATTATTTGTAAGGTAGTTGGGTTAAAATTGTGAAGAACTAAGGGGCTGTTCTATTTACCGTTTTTATCTTTTTTCTGTTTTCAATTTTTCAAAATAGTAAAAACACGTTTACTTACCTATTTTCAAAAACGAATTTCTGAAAATGTGTTTAAAATTTACAAAGAAAATAGAAAACGTCAAAAATATCGTTTTGGGTGTTTTTGATTAAAACCAAGCCAAAATTTTGAAAATACGTTTTGGGTGTTTTCATTTACACCGCCATCGTCGCCTACACCACACTACCTCCGTCACCGTCGCACCGCCGAAACCACAGCCGATGACGTCGCGACCCACCGCCCCAACCAAACAACAGAAGAAAAACCACCGCCACACCACCACCACACCCACAGCTGCAACCAACCACCACCGCTACAGTTAAAAAAAAAAAAAAGAGAAAGAGAGAAAAACAGACAGACGAAGCCGTCGGCGATCGCAACCACAACCAACCACCGTCACACACCCAAAAACGCCATACACCACCGCAACAACCAACCACCGTCACAGTTAAAAAAGAGAGAGAGAGATGAAGCTGCATGCGATCACAGTCACAACCAACTACCGTCGCACACCACGCACCCAAAACCACCACACACTACTGCTCGCTGCTCATCGACAGAGAGGAGGGGAAGAGGAGAGAGAGACGACAGAGAAAGGGGACGAAGAGAGAGAGGGGAAAAAATATAACGTGTTTTCCAATTTTTTATTTTTGAAAATAATTTTTCAAAATGACAAAGAAAACACGTTTTCAACAATCTCAAAATGGACACTCAAAACATAAAATCAAAAATAATTCAAAACTCAAAATAAAAAATTGAAACATGAAGAGAACAACCTTGACCGTTTAGTTTGTGTTTCAGTTTTCAATTTGAATTTCGAGTTCATTTTCAATTTTCTGTTTTAATGGTCTATTTTAAGATTGCCAAAAATGCATTTGGTTTGTCATCTTAAAAAATTATTTCTCAAGGCTAAAAATTAGAAAACACGTTATGTTTTATGAAATTTTATTATTCAGTTAAAATATAACAATTTTATGATATTCTTAAGTAACATATATATTTTAAAGTTGAAGAATCTTAAAATATTTTTTCTCGTTACAAAAATAAAATAAAAATAAATAATAAATTGAGTTTAAAATATAAAAAATAAAAATAAAAATTAATGATGAGGACTGACAATATTTTTATATGTGTTTATTTAAATATTTTTTTAAAATTTTATTTAAAAGTTTATTTTTTTCATTTTTTGAGTATTTTTAAAAAAAATTCTGAGAATATTCAAAATGGCAAAAATAATTTTATTTTATTTTATATATTTATGATTGTTTTCAAAAATAAACAACTCCACAGGACAAGGCGGAGCGACCGAGCAATGCACAAAAGCTATCTCTACCACACGGTCCACACCAGATCCAGAAGAGTCAACCCAACAAAAGGCTTCCATAAACAACTTTATAAAACAACACAAATCTCATAAATGTAATAGCAATATTCTTCGGCAGAAATCTTAGCTATAAACTAATATTATTAATTGATGAAATTTTAAGAGTATACAAAGTGATCGGATTACAGGGATAGAGGAGTTCTGGTATATGGTGGATGGTGTCACGCTCAATATGGGTGTGGCGGGTTCCAAGCTAGAGAAGGCTCTTGGCGACCATTTTCCCGAAGGAGAACGCTATTTCGGTCTCGAGAACTTCGGCAACACTTGCTATTGTAACAGCGTCCTCCAGGTAGCTATCTAGATACGTTTAATTTATCGTTGTTTAATATGTGCGGTATCAGTTGTAGATTTATTTTATGGTATTTGATTTGTGGGTTTGCGATTCATTGCTATCTTTCTTTCTTTCTATTTGGATTTTAATGATTTTGGGGAGTGTAATCGGATTTACGTCTTAGAATCGCGGAACAAGGTTTTGGTCGGTTGGGTTGATTGACTTTCTATAGAGTTGTTTATGCTGTTCACAGATACGGGAAAAAATGGTTGAGTTATTCACTGAACCACCATGGGAGAACTATTTAATTGCTATTTTTTGCTAGGTTTTCTTGGGCAATTTTTAGATGGGTCTCTCTGTTTGTTGTAAAATAGTGATCTTGGGACTTCTATTGCTGTTCTTTATGCGGGGACATGGAAAAGAAAGCATATAAGGAAAAGGAAAATGGTTTTGTTGTGTGATGCTGATGGCCGAGTGAAGTTTAACTGTAAAATTGTGTGATTCTTCTCTTGAATTTCGTTAGATGGGTTTGCCACAAAATTTTAGATGGATCCATTTGTTTGTGCATAAGCTGATAATTTCTGTAAGATTTTGTGTTTTTCTCTGTTAAGAATTTACAAAAAGATTTATTCATGTTCAAAGCAATTTGGAAGCAGGTCATTTTCCAACTGCTCGCTTGACCTCTGCCTAGGACCTTAGCACCACTGTGCCAATCACCACTGTTATTTCTACTTTATTGACTCCACCCAGCATAAATATATAACCCTATGTTGATACTGTTGGTGGCTAGAGAAGTGATGATGGTTGAGGTAGTGGACACTATTTAAGAAAATTATTTTACAAAGACCAAAGAGGAAACTGTAAAATAGATTTTCAAATGAAAACAAATTTCTTACAAGTTTGTTCCAGACTAGAAAGTCGCATGTCTAAATAAGGGAGTGTATTTGTAATCAAATTAATTTTACAAGGTAAGCACTAGGCTTCTATGTTATTATGCTGAGAATTTCTTAGATTCATTTGATGCTATATGATGCTAATCCAATAATGTCATTGTGTTTTATAGTCTCTTTACTTCTGTGTGCCATTTCGTGAACAACTGCTAGAGTATTATTCAAGCAACAAAACTCCTAGTGAAGGAGATGAGAATCTCTTGACATGTCTGGCAGAATTGTTCTCACAGGTAATATATTTCATCTTTGATAACCATGGTGGCAATAAAACTATGTACTACTGTACTATGGATCACAAGATTATGCCTTTTTTTTCCCCTGAAGTAGAACACCATCAGAGCCTAAGTGAGCTTTTACATCTCCACCTAGACCCAGTTGGTTG